GTTAAGTTCCTCAAGTATTTATTAAATATATACTTTTCCATTGTTGGGTTAAATTTGAAAAAGACACTGAGTCTTCAGAGGAAAATACTTAGACATTGTCAGTAAAGGAACATCACTACTTCCTAAACTGGTTTAAGGAGCTAGTACTGATGTTTGTCAACATGTGGCAGCTGATGTCAAAATTCCCCTTTGGAAAATCCGTGATATCACCCACACTGAAATCACAGGATTCTGATAACCATGGTGAAATTGCAGCACATGACTGAAGAAAATGTCAAGTACATTCTGTATAGAGAAGTAAAATTCTTTAAAAGCATAATTGCTTCAGCGTCCATAGCAACAAAGATATAAAACATTGTGTTACTTATTTCTATTCAGGCAAAATCACTAATCGGTCCTGTTGTGAAAAGCTATAGTCGCCTTGTAAGGAAATTTGTCTTTATAGTTCAAGTTCTTTTGCTCTCTCTTTATTTATTTTTGTTGTTGTTATTGTTTCCTAAGAAAGGCACGAACATATTTGAATGGATTTTTCATGGCTGGCTAAATGAATTCATCACTTATTASCTTAGTTTCCCACATAGCTAAGAAAACTCCCACGTAGTTTTTGGAGTTAGCAAATCAAAAAAAGTGGGAGGAAAAGATTTGAAATCTTTGGTCAGAAGTCTTATAATATGGAAGATACTTACTTGGTCACCTGTACTCCTTCTTGTCCTCAGTCTTACTTTCTAGGCTGCTTAGGCTTCCTTGCCATGGTTAGCAAATATAGTACCTTAAGTCATGCATTCCCRTGAAGGGACAGTTTCATGCCTTCAGTCGTTAAGTGGTGATGTTCCCTCAAAGAAACCTTTCTCCTTTTCAGGAAGGGGCAGATGGAGTTGGATGGATTGAGTATCTGGTATCTGGATGTGCTTTCATAGCCCATATGGTCATCATCTAGCATCAAAGTTTCGAGTTGAACCCAGTGCCACTAGTTGTTACCATAGGACTAAGGACTGCTGTCTTGTCTGGCTTTGAATTATTATGGAATAGTTTGCTCAGTGAGGCTGCTGTAGAGAGGGACATGCCCTTTGCTTTTTTTCATCCATTATTCCCTTCTCTTCTGCTTTCCTCAGCCTGGTTTATAAGGGTAGCTGAGAATCTCAGTGGTACAAGGAATTCATGGAAATCTAAGCCTGTTAGCATTGTTGGCTGAATGTTAAGTAACTTGATTATTAGAGTTTTAAACAAAGTTTTACTTGCTAGTTTGAGTATGTGATCCCAGAGGGATCTTGCCAGAAAACTTTGTAAATCCATGTCCTGAAGATATACACATTGTAAAAGGGAGACTGGAAATTTAAGAATTCTTATTGTCAAGAGAGAAAGGAGGGCATTATATTGCCTAACTTTCTTTTTTTTTTTTTTTCTTCCCCCCATAAAAAGGATGTTTTATTAATGCAGAGTCTCACATTTCTCTTATTTGTAAGTTCTGTTTCATTTCTGGTTAAGGAGGATTGTGGATCTTACTGAAGCAGATTCTTTGTACAAACAAAATGTTTGCACAAATTCACGTTTCCTGGCAGGTCAGACTCTTAGAGGATCACTGGTAGAGTTCCTTGCCTGACATCCTGTATATTTTAACTGTATACTATATTATGTTTTTTCAAAGTAATTTGTCTGTGCTTGGAGAGGTCAAAGCACTGTTTATATCTGTGTAGTGCTGTTGATCTTTATTTGCTTGCCAGCAAGCACGTTTGATTAATGTTTTACTTCAAGATTTTGTATTTCATTTGTTATTGTATTATCCCTGTTACCACTTTCCTCTTCATGTACTTGGCTTTAGTTCACTCACTGCATGACATACCTAAGAGTACTGAAAAAAAGAATAAAATAAAGTGCAAAAGAATGCATTTAAATTAAACTCTGCTAAGAAAGATAATATAAATTAACACTTATGTTACAGAACTTAAGAAACTTGTATGAAATACTAACCATCTTGAAATGAAACATTTACTGGAGCAGATGATGCATTGATGGCTTTTGGCCTAAACATCTGTATAATAATCACATTGTCATCTATGTAAGATGAGAAAATGCTGATATAAAAGCTTTAAATATGAATATTAATTAATGGATGCAGGAAGACTGTGTTCCCTTTTTTTGGATCTATGATACTGCCTGGGATGCAGAACATAGCAGATGACTGAAAAAGGAAACCTGTATGAGATTGCTTTAGCAGAGTTTTTTTTCTCATTGTGTTTGTGCCTGTTCCTACATCATGTACATGGAGATGATATAGAGAACCTTACTGCAGCTCCCCAAGGACCAAGGGTTGTCCTCAGAGGAGTGCCCATTTCTACATTACTACTCCAGGGTTCAGTTTGATAAATTAGTTCTCTTAAATTCCCTCCAAGTCTTTTATATTAAAGGCAGGCTTTGTGTTAGAGATTCTTCCAAGGTAAATAGCATAGCCTTAAACTCTGTTGTGTTTTCCCTGGTAGCTCTGTGGACTTACATACTTAGATTTTCTTCCTTGTGGACTTCCAAAGCTTTGCCAAATTTTTCTATTTCCCTTCCATCAGATCCCGTACCTTTTCTCCCAAAACTTCTCTGTGCAGCAGAGAGCCTGGGTGTGAAGTAAAGTACACCTTGTCTTAGAGGTGAGACTTCAGCTATAAGAAGAGGAGAAGGGAAAGACAAATGGGAGGGAAATGTTTTCATTTCATTGCCCATATACTGTGAACAAAACATTTCACATTGGATCAGCTTAGATCCCACACCAGTTACTATCTTGCTAGCCATAAAAATTAAAATGGTAGGCTGTTAATCATAAATATTTTCTTTAAATACCTGGCATGATTTCTAATTCAGCAGTGTTAACTTCTACAGCTAATGAGGCTAATGTAAATAATAATGCAAGAAGTAATGCCAAATGAAATTGTTTTAGAAATTTTTGACTATGTTAAATCAACCACGTAAATATAAAATCATTGTCAATAAAACCTAATCAATTGTCAAGAAGATGGGGGAGAGGGAGGAAATCTATTTGAAAATGTAAAACTGTGTTCAGTATAATCTAATCAACTGTCAAAAATGAAACACTTCTAATTGGATTCATGTGATAAAAAGGTATCTGTTGACCTAAGTAAATTTTTCTCTTGTAACAAAGAGGAATGAGGCTCCAAAGACAGAATAATAGCTTTCTGTCAAGTCACTTTTTTCTTTTGTATTTATTGGTCTGGGTGTGATTTTTTTTTTTTATTTGTTTGTTTGTTTTAGTATTGAGGTTGTTTGAGGGGTGATGTACCTTACTCTTAGTCATCATTACCCTCAATGTTACCTTTTTTTAATCATCTGCACATTCCAGTTAGCTTTTGTTCAATTAGTGTTCATAAATATGATGTCTTCTACCTTACCTTTGTGTTTCATTCTAACTTGAAAAGATGAAGGGCATAATTTCTTCTRCTTCACGTTTTATAAAGACAAGGCAACTGCTGCCAAGGAGGAAGTTGTACAGCTAGTATTGTTGTTCAGATAATCTTTCTTGAACTCTTAATGACAATGTCAGTCATCAAGAGGGACTGGGTGCAATAACAGCATTCTCTGGCACTGAAGTTGAGGTAAAATAATATACTTAAATTAGTTTACAGAGAGGCATGTGTTAATAGTATGTCTGATTTCTCAAAAGTCCTACTTGGACTTTTTTCCAAATGTTTCAGTCAATTATTTTTAACTTTAGAAGTGTTAAGTATTATGCTCAGGTAGTACTCTTACGTTGTTAGCTTTATTTCTTTGCACCTTTCTTCCTGAGTTTCTGTGTCCAGAAATGATCTTCTAATGTTTTTGTGAGAGAAGAAAAAAGTTGGCTATCATTGGATGAATGTGCTTTTCCCATACAAACTACTATTCCAAACTACTTAGTCTTTTTTTTTTCTTCCTTGTAATATTTTTTCTTTTTCTTTTTTTTCATCTTTCATCTTTTTCATCATCTCATCAGCTACATTAATCTTCTTCCTTAGCACTTTTTCCATTACTCTGTCAGTGGCTTCTTGTCTGAATTTCTCCTTTGCTATACCTGACCTTTGTAAATAACACCATTGCCAGACATATAAAGAGATTTTTCTTACATCTAAAATTAGTTTACTATCCTAAACCTGTCATCTGTGCAACCTCTGTAATCAATGATGAATACCACAAGAAGGCAATTTATCAGATTTTAAGATTATGTTGAAAATAGAAGGGATTAATTGATGTCTGGTTTATCTGTTTTATTTGGCTAATTAAAGAAAGAACCCTACAAGACTATCTCAGATGAGATATCTGACTTTCAGAGGGCCAAAATTGGAAGTATACTGTTGTGTAGTGCATTACCTTTATAATGTCTGTTCTGCAGAGTTCAAAACTACATTAAATTGGAGTGCGATGACACCCACCATTTAATCTTTCTCTATGAGCGGATTCTTGAGCARTGTCAGCTGCTTGATTTTATTCTCTAATGATCTTTTGAGCAATGTTTGGACAGATTATAAAAACTACCCATGCCATTTCATTAGAATGGTTAATTTCATTTTTTAGTTGCACAGATAGAAGTGGTAGAATATTTTTTGACAAGGCTACATAGYGCTATATAATGGCATAATTTAATATAAACCAAATTGCCTAAATCCAGTCCTAAACTCATAGGAACTAAGTCTACTTAGTGCTGCTTAATTATAGTAGAGGACTAAGTCTACTTGTTTATGGTGCCAGCTATTACACTGGTTATTACTGGGACAGAAATATACCTGCTCAGACTGTGTGCGTACATCTTGATCATAAGCAGTGGGTAATATTTGRTTAATATTGCTGTACAGAAACATTTGAAATTATAAAGTTTGAAAATGCATATTATGAATACTTATCCAAATACTTATGAACAAATTTAGAACAAAATTATATGTGAGAAAAAAAATGTTTATCAGCTATAATTATTCCATTTGTAAAACCAGTATTTATACTTCTGCTATTTGACTTTCTTTTAACAGTGTTGTAACCCACCACTGAATCAACAACGTGGGAACAGTTCATAGCATCAAAAACTTCCTTCGCGTACTGATGCCATCTCTCAAGCCTCCAAGCACTGTGAACTGAAACCACAAAACCATATGGAATTTACATCCCCTGGGTCAGAAGGCATGCTTTTCTGATATTTAACGAGGAGCTTTACTGCCATTATGACGAACCAGGAGAAGTGGGTTAACCTTAGTCCTGGAGAATTCTCTCAGCTTCAGAAATATGCAGAATGTAAGTACTTACTGTGCTAAGTGTGTGACTTCACTGCTAATTCATAATCAAGAACATTTTGAACTGTGTTTTAGAAGGTGGAAGTGGAGCCATAATATATTTAACCTCATATATGACTCTTATTATACATTGCATATTATTACTCATTATTCATTGCCTGCTAACTTTTCCCTGATCAGTAATTATTCACTATGCAAGTTAGGCTGGCTATGGATTACTAGACTATGGTTATATGGAAAGCCTAAGGCTTTTTTGCTGTACTTTAAATTCACTGCAACACTTTATAGGCCTTATTTCAGCAGGGGGGTGGGAGGGGATTATTATTAAAAAATTAGAAAGTCCTACTGCAAATAATTCTAGAAGAAACATACCTAGCTGCACAATCTGAAGGAGTTGCTTTCATGAGAAAGACGGGAAATAAAAATTCCCCTATTCAAAAAGCAAGCCGAAGATCCAATTCTTTAGTTATTACTCTGGAAAACCTTCCTTTAAGTTGCCTGAATAAGCAGAATAAAATTACATGCTTAGAGAACAGATGAGAAGTTAGATTTAGGAGACATTTTATAAAGCTGACTTGGAGTTGAGACAGCATAGTGCATGAACATTTGCAAAGTTTTCCCATACGAAAATGTATTTTTAAAAAACATCAGAGAAAATCTTGTGAATGACTTATTACTAAAGCTAAGGTAAATTGAAGAAAATTGACTTGCTTTTTTGTTTTGCCTGTGATATCTCAACACATGCACAATTATTTCTATTTCAGTAGAGTAATATAACAGAATAACCATGAAATGATGACTGGAATTAATATTAAACATATTTCAATGGRAGGTATTATTGTGTTTCATACATTTTTCATTATATCAAGTTAAACTATGAATTTTACCAAATATTCTGCAATGTCATTGAAAGGAAAAAAAAAGTCAAGTAAAAATATTTATATGATGCTTTCTGGAAAGGATATATTTGAGTTCTATAAGCTTATAAAATTAAGTTTAAAAATAAGTTTATAAAATATTTTTTCTACTCCCATTTTTTCCTCCAACATGCTTGCATAGACCCTAAGAACTATTCTTTTAATAGAACAMATATTGGTATTATTAAAAAGCTTATGTGCTTATAATTGCTTATGTGTGAGATTTGGTTATGTGTATGTTGGATTTGCTTGTGTGTGTATGTAAAGGAAAAAAATCAGGCTTGTGTGTATACATAACGGAAATATGTAAGATCTCTGCAGTATGTTTATTTAACCCTTTGCTGCTTGTGTATAAAAGGATATTAATTGCACAAGGATGTGAAATGTGATGTTTCTTTGTATAAGCATTTTAAATTCTGAGGCAATTATAAATAATTAGCAATTTTTTTCTAAGATTTAATATTTCAATGGAGATTAACTCTGATATGGACCTTATTTTAAATGTATGATGTGTACACTTTTGTTTAAAATATTTTAATTGGATCCAACATTTTAGAATATGTTACATTTTTAACATGTAGAGATATGAAATATTATGATAGTAGATGCCTCTGTTCATTACTTTATAGTAATTTTATGGAATTTTATGTAGTTTGAGTGTGTAGTTTGTTTGATACTCCACATTCTTTGTTGAACGTTGGAAGATCCTGGGAGACTATGTCTGGCTTGACTAAATTTGCTAAAGAACAATCAACAACAACAACAAAAACCTAAAAAGCATGTTCTTCTCCAGGACATGACTTGAAATATCACTGGATCTTCCCTCATGGTACAGCCCTGCAGGTCCTAGGACTGCAATATGCTTATGTGTGCACACTATCAGCTGTCCATTGTCCTCTCTTGTCAGAAAAGACTGCTGCTTGTTGCAGATGGGGAAACAAAACTGTGGTGGACTTTTCACAGTGGCATTATAGCGTTAACATTCTGCAACAGTATTAAAAGGAATGAAAAGACCAGGAGAAATTTCTGTTGTAGAAAATATCTGGGAGCCTCTCATGAGTCTTGGAGACTGTTAAATTCTCACAGAAAGGAGAAACTTTCTGAGTTGTAGAAGGTAACACTTGAGGGATGTTTGATTTTGTGACAAATTCCTATCAACAACTGTCAATTATGCCCCCAGTTTTGTCTCCTAGCTGTCATGGAAGGTCCTGACARTTATGACTTCCAGTTTTGTTTCCTAGCTGGCATGGAAGGTCCTGATTGCAAATTATATGGATGAGTTGGGTTTCATCAAAGTCTTCTGGAATGCATTAGGGAAATGAAGTGATTCATTTTCCACCTACCTGCTTTTTACTGATAATTATCATTTCTTCTGCCTTTCATCTGCCTATAATTTGATGTATACATACTGYACTTGATAAATCCTACCTAAATGACAACTTGATGTTAACTTTGGAGTTTTTTTAACAGATGCAGTTTTTGAATTTTAAAAATGCAGTATTTTTGCTTCCTGTTTTATTTTATTCCCATTTATTTATTTTGGGCCTGATTCAAAGGCTAGAGTTTCCCTAAAACCTGTTTGCCTGGGGTGCTAGTGACTTAGGATCATACCCTTAGTCATCTCCTCAATCAGATTGCTGCAATCAGCATGATTTTTGTACAACAAGCTTAAGTTTGTTTTGGAATGGTTTTTGTAAGATTATTATGCAAACTTAAGAAAACATAAAGAAACATAAAGGTGATTCTTAACATCTGCTGTTGATGACACTAAGCAGAGACCTGTAACAGGGATGGCATGTATAAAGATGTCTTGAGCTAACCTGTAGGATGCTCTAGGCAAAGGATGTATTTCAATTTCTGCTTCTCTTTGGAATCTAAGTACATTTAGTTAAGAAAATTTTCTCACTTTTCGGAGAGAAACTCATGTTCTGTATTTGCTTCTATATTTAGGCAGTATTCTCTTTAAAATGGGTTTGCTTGTCATTGTAGCTGAGTGGTCAGAAAACATCACTGCAGAGTTCCTCTCTCATGCTGAATTCCGTTGTCCTAGCAGGTTACTGAGCTTGTGTGACACCTGTGTACAAAGACACACACACACACACACACACACACACACACACACACACCATCTTATTGGTCTAATAACCATAGTTTTGGTTCACTTTGGTAACCCAGTAAGAGTTTAGGAGAAACTTAAATGACTTGTTCTTGGGTTACCCTTGTGCATCAGCTGACTTTAATCATGTAATTAATTTTCAGACTGTACTGAGATGCATGCTGCACAGATAGTATGTTTAAAGTAATTCCAAAGCTAGCTTATAGGTGCTAAACTGCTAATAGAATGGGGACATTGTAGATGAAGCTGTCCAGAACTTCGAGGTCTGAATTCATCCAAAATTCCCTTCCAGTTACCAAAATAGGTGCATGAATCTTGCRCTATAAATACCTGTTAAACTTGATGGCTCACTTAGATTGTAACACTTGGATAGAGTTTCCACTTTCTGACTAAAACTTTCTTACAGTTCTGTGTAATTATACTTTTAACTGAAATTCTGTGAATTGGATGATGTATCTGTTCTTTCAAGTACAATTAAACAAATAAAGCTAGSTCTATGGGCAGACACTCTGCTTTGCATCCCTTTAAGAAGTTCCTACCACATCTTATTATGCTATTTGTCACATATTTATAGTATTTATAGTAACACATATTTATAATATTATTCAAGTTTTGTCTGGTAAAAAATATTATATTACACTGAGTGAATTTAGAATATAATTTCTGAAACACATACCATCTTATTTCAATTAAGTAAAGGGCAAAGGAGATACAGATCTTATTTGGTTTTCCAAAACTTGTTCCTAATCACGAAACATCTTCCTCAGAGTGACAGTTAGGATTTAACAGTGAGTATCTTCCAGTAATTTAATACTTTTGTAGAAAGTTCTGATTTTCTGCGATTACAATTAAAATGGTGTAAGTATAATATTGTGTTAAATGTCCATATTCATAATTTCAATTTAAAGAAATATTTTTAGCTCTATTTGAGGCTACTTAATATTTAAGTTTAAGAAATTTATTCATCTGCATACCACTATGCTTAAATAATTTGAGGCTTCAAAGGAATTTTTGTGGAATAAGGTGTGGGTTTAAAAGGAAGAAAATTATATTTCTAGAAATGCAAAAAGCATATTAACTCATACTTGACTCTTTGCAATTATTTTGTGTGTGTGTGTTTTAAAATATTATTTGCAATGACAAATTATTTGCAATGACAATTCCTGTGTGTCCTCTGGTCAAATTTTCTGGTCAAATTAAAAATCTCCTTTCTTTCCCGAGGAGGGAGTAGTAGAAAATTTTGTGCATTAGGTCTTTATCTGTTTTAAAAAACTAGAGAGAGATAAGAGACATATATAACTGAGATATATCTAAAATAACTGGGRTATTATGCATATGTAGCCCACAGCAAAACATACAGATTTGAAAGAAATGGATGCACCTTTTTGCCTAAGAGGAAAAAAAGCATATTTTTTCCTTTAGCTCTCATCAATGTTGACTGTGGGGAAAGAGGAAAGAATGAAGAATGCATCCTTTTTTCTTTGTTGTTGTTGTTTGCTTTTCCTTAAAATGTCCCTTAGAGTAGTGAAGAACTATGCAGATACCTGATGCTATGCAAACCATTAAGAAGAAATCTTCTCTGCTGTGAGAAATCTACAAGTCCTGCATGTGCCTTATCCTAGCAGCAGCTTGAACTGTAAGGATGTTAGTGAGAAGCAATGTTAAATATTTGATTATGATTTTATTAATATCCATAGGGTAAATTTGATAATTTTGGAGAGAGTATTCTTGTATAATTTATTAAATAGCTATTATAATCCAAAATTTTAGATGAGGGAAATATGGAAGATCCTGCTCTAAAACAAAGTGAGAAAATATTGAAGGAGTTAAAAAGAGTTAAAGCAAGAATGTTTCGTGATTCAGCTAAGCTTTAAAAGAAAGTAAGTCTGCCATGCCTTTAGTAGGTGGATAGAGGCAGAG